GGCTAAAATCCCGTGAACCCAGGACTGTGCCTCGAGTCCAATTTCTCGGGCCGTTTCTAATCAACCTGCCAAATTCCGGCCCATTCTAACTCCGTCGCGACAAATGACAAAATTCCCCCTGGTGCGATTTTGCTTTGTAAATTTTCTGTCCAACACTTCTTCAACCTGACATAATTAATACGGAAATTAATTATTCGGAAGCCTAAACGAAGGAATTTGGCTAAAATCCCGAGAACTCAGGTCCATGGCCCAAGTCTAATTTCGCGGGCTATTTCCAATCAACCTGCCAAATTTCGGCACATTCCGACACCGTTGTGACAAATTACAAAATTGCCCCTGTTACGATTTTTCTTTTTTAATTTTTTGTCCAACACTTCTTCAACCTGACATAATTAATACGGAAATTAATTATTTGGAGGCCTAAACGAAGGAATTTGACTAAAATCCCGTGATCCCGGGTCTGTATCCTGAGTCCCATTTCTTGGGCCGTTTCCAATCAACCTGCCAAATTTCGGCCTATTCCGACATCGTTGCGACAAATGACAAAATTGCCCTTGGTGCGGTTTTTCTTTCTTAATTTTCTGTCCAGCACTTCTTCAACCTGACATAATTAATACGAAAATTAATTATTCGGTGGCCTAAACGAAGGAATTTGGCTAAAATCCTGTGATCCCGGGTCTGTGCCCCAAGTCCGATTTCTCGAGCCTTTTCCAATCAACCTGCCAAATTTCAGACCATTCCAACACTATCGCGACAAATGACGAAATTGCCTCTGATGCGATTTTTCTTTGTTAATTTTCTGTCCAACACTTTTTCAACCTAACATAGTTAATACGAAAATTAATTATTCGGAGGCCTAAATGAAGGAATTTGGCTAAAATCCCGTGATCTCGGGTTTGTGCTTCGAGTCCAATTTCTCGGGCCGTTTCCAATCAACCTGCCAAATTTCGGCCCATTCTGACACCGTCGCGACAAATGACGAAATTACTCCTGGTGCGATTTTTCTTTGTTAATTTTCTGTCCAACACTTCTTCAACCTGACATAATTAATATGGAAATAAATTATTCGGAGGCTTAAAAGAAGGAATTTGGCTAAAATTCCGTGATCCCAGGTCTATGCCCCGAGTACAATTTCTCAGGCCGTTTCCAATCAACCTACCAAATTTCAACGCATTCTAACACCGTCGCGACAAATGACAAAATTGCCCTTGGTGCGGTTTTTCTTTGTTAAGTTTCTGTCCAACACTTCTTCAACCTGACATAATTAATAAGAAAATTAATTATTCGGAGGCCTAAACGAAAAAATTTGGCTAAAATCCCGTGATCTCGGGTCTGTGCCCCGAGTCCAATTTCTTGGGCCTTTTCCAATCAACCTGCCAAATTTCGGCCCATTTCGACACTGTCGCGACAAATGACGATATTGCCCCTGGTGCGATTTTGCTTTGTTAATTTTCTGTCCAACACTCCTTCAACCTGACATAATTAATACGAAAATTAATTATTCGGAGGCCTAAACGAAGGAATTTGGCTAAAATCCCGTGATCCCGGGTCTGTGCCCCGAGTCCAATTTCTCAGACCGTTTCCAATCAACTTGCCCAATTTTGGCCCATTCCGACACCATCGCGACAAATGATAGAATTGCCCCTGGTGCGATTTTGCGTTGTTAATTTTCTGTCCAACACTTTTTCAACCTGACATAATTAATACGAAAATTAGTTATTCGGAGGCTTAAACGAAGGAATTTTGCAAAAATCCCGAGTTCTCGGGTCTTTGCCTCGAGCCAATTTCTCAGGCCGTTTCCAATCAACCTGCCAAATTTCGGCCCATTCCAGCACTGTCGTGACAAATGACAAAATTGCCCCTGGTGCAGTTTTGCGTTGTTAATTTTCTGTCCAACACTTATTCAACCTGACATAATTAATACGAAAATTAATTATTCGAAGGCCTAAACGAAGGAATTTGGCTGAAATTTCGAGGTCTCAGGTCTTCGTCCCGAGTCCAATTCCTCGGTCCGTTTCCAATCAACCTTCATAATTTCGGCCCATTCCGACACTGTCACGACAAATGAAAAAATTGCCCCTATTGTGGTTTTGCGTTGTTAATTTTCTGTCCAACACTTATTCAACCTGACATAATTAATACGAAAATTAATTATTCGGAGGCCTAAACGAAGGAATTTGGCTAAAATTCTGAGATATCGGGTCTTTGCCCCAAGTCCAATTTCTCGGGTCTTTGCCCCGAGTCCAATTTCTCGGGCCGTTTCCAATCAACCTGTTAAATTTCGACACATTCCGACGTCGTTACGAGAAGTGACAAAATTGCCCCTGGTGCGATTTTACGTTGTTAATTTTCTGTCAAACACTTCTTCAACCTGACATAATAAATACAGAAACTAATTATTCGGATGCGTAAACAAAGGAATTTGGCTAAAATTCCAAGATCTTGGGTCTTTGACCCAAGTCCAATTTCAAGGTCGTTTCCAATCAACCTGCCAAATTTCGGCCCATTCCGACACCGTCACAACAAATGACAAAATTGCCCCTGGTGCGGTTTTGCGTTGTTATTTTTCTGTCCAACACTTATTCAACCTGACATAATTAATACGAAAATTAATTATTCGGAGGCCTAAACGAAGGAATTTGGCTAAAATCCCGAGATCTCGGGTCTTAGCCCCGAGTCCAATTCCTCGGGCCATTTCCAATCAACCTATCGAATTTCGGTTCATTCTGACACCGTCGCGACAAATGACGAAATTGCCCCTGGTGCGGTCTTGCTTTGTTAATTTTCTGTCCAACACTTCTTCAACCTGACATAATTAATAAGGAAATTAATTATTCAGAGGTCTAAACGAAGGAATTTGGCCAAAAATCCCGTGATCCCGGGTCTTTGCCCCGAAGCCAATTTCTCGGGTCGTTTCCAATCAACCCGCCAAATTTCGGCCCATTTAGACACCGTCATGACAAATGACAAAATTACCCCTAGTGCGATTTTACGTTGTTAATTTTTTGTCCAACACTTATTTAACTTGACATAATTAATACGAAAATTAATTATTCGGAGGCCTAAACAAAGGAATTTTGCTAAAATCCCGAGATCTCGAGTCTCTGTCCCGAGTCTAATTCCTCAGGCCGTTTCCAATCAACCTGTCGAATTTCGGCCCATTCCGATACCGTCGCGACAAATGACAAAATTGCCCCTAGTGCGATTTTGCTTTGTTAATTTTCTATCCAACACTTCTTCAACCTTACATAATTAATAAGGAAATTAATTATTCGGAGGCCTAAACGAAGGAATTTGGCTAAAATCCCATGATCCCGAGTCTGTGCCCTGAGTCTAATTTCTCGGGCTGTTTCCAATCAACCTGCCAAATTTCGGCACATTCCGACCCCGTCGCGACAAATGACAAAATTGCCCCTGGTGCGGTTTTGCGTTGTTAATTTTCTGTTCAACACTTCTTTAACCTGGCATAATTAATAAGGAAATTAATTATTCAGAGGTCTAAACGAAAGAATTTGGCTAAAATCCCATGATCCCGGGTCTGTGCCCCGAGTCCAATTTCTCGGGCCGTTTCCAATCAACATATAAATTTCGGCCCATTCCGACACCGTCGCGACAAATGACAAAATGGCCCCTGGTGCGGTTTTGCTTTATTAATTTTCTACCCAACACTTCTTCAACCTGACATAATTAACACGGAAATTAATTATTCGGAGGCCTAAACGAAGGAATTTGGCTAAAATCCCGAGATCTCGGGTCAAAAGACCCGAGTCCAATTTCTCGGGCCGTTTCCAATCAACTTGACAAATTTCGGCCCATTCCGACACCGTCGTGACAAATGATGAAATTGCCCCTGATGCGGTTTTTCTTTGTTAATTTTCTGTCCAACACTTCTTCAACCTGACATGAGTTATGTGTGTTTGAATGTTCTGATGATTTTGAAGACATAGAATCTAAATAGAAACATGGTGACATTATCCTTAAGCTTAAATCAGAAATTTACGAAGCCTTGTTTTTGAATAATCGACTCCCCTCTAGAATATTATTTTTTTTGGCATTTTGATTGGTTTAATTTTTTTGTGGCAACGGGAACTTTTGTTTTTTTTGCAATAATTATTGAACACTGTCAACAATCTTTTGCCCTGGATTTGTCTTCTCTTCTGCAACTTTTTTTTTTTTTTTTTTTTGACCTTTTATAACAGAGAAAAGGTTCAAGATTTTAGTCTAGGTGTAAACAATGATTCTTATGAATTTTTCGATTTATTTATGTATGTGTATATGCCTGTAATTGTCTTCATGGGTAATTGGGTATGTGTTTCTGTCATAGATATGTCAAAAGTGATAAATTAGTCAAAGTCGCTTCAAATCTAACTTATATTTTTTGGATTTTCCTTCGTCTTATTCTTCGTTGGAGAGTTATTATTGAAATTAGACATGGATAGTGAGGTCCCTTTTCCATGTATGGACAATTCATATGATTGAATTCTGTCTAGGTTGTATTTAACTTCTTCCCACTGTAATGCCGATGTGACTCTGTAATGCTGATGTGACTTTCTTTTTGGGTTAAGAGGAAAATGCTCAATGCACTGCGCATTGAATTTGATTGTGGACATATTCTGTTTTTATTAAATGCAAATGCAAACACAAATTGCTCCCCAAGTTCATAAATTTCTGATTTTTGCTCTAATCATGTTCTTCTTTATGAATTTAGAGCAGTATGGGATAAAATTATCCCTTCAGGAATTCAAAGAATTTGATGTGTTGAAAGATGATTACGGAATCAATTGGCATTTAGATCTGAAATTGATAGTTGATGATTTGTTGTCGTTGGCTTAAACAACTTATTTTCACACGGTTATGTTGAAGCACCTGCTTTTTAGAAGTGATGAACATATATACTATTTTATATTTTGACATTATAGGCAATGGAATAAGTAATTCACCTCAGAAAATAGGAACCTTTACTTTTTCTTTCTTCGAAAATTGATTGAAGATACTATTGAAACTCACAACAGATAGGAAGTACTTAAAACATCCCAACTTTTAGTGCATTTCGTTTAAGGCTTCAAACATTCATAATTTCACGAGAAAGACACGTCAGAAGTTACGATTTTGTGCCCATCATTAGTTAATGAAAACAATGGATTTACACAATGTCAAATTATCGTGACCACTCAATGGATTCTTAATATGTGGTTTTATGCCATCCTCTCTTGTATGCTTATAGTTTTATTTCTATCATCATAACCCTTCATAATTGTTTTTATGGATTTCCAAATTTACAAGGTAGTATATATTTTATGCTTACGACTTCTGGACCTGTCTACAGATTAATGAAATATGTATCAACCGACGGTTATTCCTACCTGAAGCTTAGTTCATGGTACTCCACTAGTTCGTAGTCAGCCATTAGACTGTGGTGCCAGTTCAATGGATCCCGTCAACTAAGTAAACAATGCTAATAACATTCCTAATCTAGCCTCTAAGCAGTGGCTTTGTTGGACTCATGAGCTTCGTGAACGGTTTGTCGATGCCATGGCACAACTTGGTGGATAAGATCGTGAGTCATCTTGACTACCATTTAGCTAACTCCCCCAAAGTTCCCGTAATGCATGAAAGAAAGATAAAAGCGACATTTTAGCTCTAAGTTTTATTCGTGTGCTTTCATATTGACTTTCAAATATTGATAATGAACTTGTTTTATGTTCCCAAATATATATTAATTGATGAGTTTTTGAGCTTTAAACTTTTGTTTCTTGTCTTCATGCTATGTACATTTTCAATTTGGTGATACAATCTCGTGCTTGCTTATGTTCCCAAATTCATGATTATAATAAATGAATGAATAGGAGTTGATATTTATTGTGATGGAGAGATACATGCGAAGGCATTGTAGATACACTCATTTGGTAAATCTGATAAGGTGTTAATATGCTGTTGTAGGATGGAAAGACGTTTTCCAAGGAATACGAAGCAGTTGAGGGAATGTTAGACAGATGCTATATTTCCCCATACTTCATCACAAATCAGAAGAACCAGAAATGTGTAAGTCTCTTTGCTGCTGTTACTTGCAATAAAATGTTTATTGCTTAATAAATCGACTCTTTGATTTATTTGCTTGCTCTGAAATGATATGACTTTGCCAAATCATACATTGATGCACTTCTTAAGGTGTTTCCTTTGAGGTTTTTCATACTGAATGGAATGATTTTGAATATCGATCTATTAGTAAAAAGCTTTCTCCAACTTTTGAATTGTCCAAAGAAAAACTTTATGTAAGAGTCGAAACACCAAAAGGAAAATTCGGAATAAAAGTTTGAATAATGAGAGTATTTGATTTTCATCTGTAATATGTTCTAATTTGACCAATCATTTTACATTCTGTAGGTTCTGACAATTGAATATGTCTCTAGGATCAAAATAAACTGCATACAAGGTCTTGATCAATTAAGTGTGTATCGCCAGAGGTATCAAAGAATATATATGAACCACTTTAAGTGAAATCCTCCTTATCTTGATGTCAGCTTTTCTAATTCTATTTTTATTTCTTTTGGGAGTAATTTAGCAATTCAATAATTTTATTTTTTTCTCAATATCCCAACTATGGGTGCTACTGGAAATTGTAGGTTGCTTATATTTTTTCTCTTGATGCCCCCATTGGTTATGTTTTCCTTGTTGGACTTTAATGATTATTCTAGATGATTATTTTGATGGCTACTATCATAAGAGATGTTAGAATCTCAGATAATTGTTACACATTGTCTTCTTCTTGACAACTCTCTCACTAGATTTATTTCAAATATGAGTTTCCTCTTGAACTAAATATCTTGCCAAAACTGTACACCCAACTTTATCAGGTATTGTGTCTATAAAATTATTTTCTTCACCTGGTTTATAATTTGTTCGTGGTCATCGATTTTCTGCAGGAAGTATACAATAATCTTTTTTTAACTACTGAACTCTTACTCGTAGGTGTGGTTGTTGTACCTTTACATGGGGTGAGCTCTAAGGTAAAACATACTGAGAGTCAGTGGAAGTGATATACGTCCACGGTAGTTTAGTTACCCTTTTGGCATATGTCAATTACTTTCGAAGCGATATTTCTTTTAATTTCTTCTAAAATTTCTATCTGATTGCCAAGACATATTTCTAGCACATGCATCCTTGTCCCCATTGTTAGTTCAGTCAGACTGGAGCTGTTTGTTGAAGTTGGTAGATGGGTAAAGTACTTGTTAAAATAAAAAAATTTGTTGGTTTTTTTTTTTTTTTTTTGCTAAATTATGTTGATTTTCTTTGTTGTTATATAATGAAAGTTGATACTAATGGGACATCTTGTTTCTTTGTTGTTATATAATGAAAGTTGATACTAATGGGACATCTTGTCAAGACTAGATAGAACTTGTGGACTAGAGGATCAGAATTATTTTTGTTGTTCTATTAGTGCTTTTGTTTGTTCATTACTTCTGTTTTCTACAAGTATGCTGTAAAAAACTGAAAGTCGTATTTTATTTCTCCAGGTAGAGTTGGATTCGAGTGAAAAACACCGCCCATCTGATACAAATGTCACAGGTGCAAGCAGTGGCGAATCCAGGATTGAAGTTCAGCTAGGGCGGTTTGACCGTTGACCGACGATCGTTGACTGTCGACAATCGTAATTGTTCGATCGTTTATTAAAATTTGGTTACATAATATTAAAAGTTATTCAATATATATGTAAATGAACTAAAACGTCAAAATCGTATACATATGAAAATATACTTCGATACAACCCAAAATAGTAAAAAAAAAAAAATACGATACAACCTTACTCAATTACTCTGTAACTGTAAACTTAGATAACTGTATTCTACGGGGTCTCATAATTTGAAAACGTTGCAATATTGTCTCATTCTCAATTTGTTTAAAAACAGCTTTCTCCACGTAAACCACCAAATTGTCATTCAACCAGATATCACCCATTTTGTTGCGCAAATCACTCTTGATTAGATTCATAGCAGAAAATACCCTTTCAACACTTGCAGTTGCCACAGGTAATATCAAAGCCAAGGTGAGCAGCCTATAAACCAATGGAAAATAACAAGAACTTCCAGTTTCAACCAACTTCTAAAGTACACAAGATATGCTATTGAGATTAAAGAAAGCTTTGTCCATTCTCACAAGCGAAAGAAACTTAACAGGTTGAGGTCTAAGTAATAAAAGCTCGTCACTATTGAAGTCCAAAGGATAAAACTGAGTAAGACGTAGCAATTTAGTCTTATCAAAAGCTACAAATGAATCTCTTGGACTTAAATATGAAATGCAAGTAAAGAGCTCAGTAGTTGTTTCTGGAAATCGATCATTCAACTCTTGCAAGATTGAGTCTATCACATGACAATACAAATCAACATAAAAG